TCTACAAGAATGTCACATTTCAATTTCCTGTCTTTTGCAGCTCCACTGAAATGTGGCTGTCTTACAGAATACTGTAGACCACCTAACTGTATTGCCATATGTAGGATCATCAGCATCCGTCGCTGTCTTGTACCACTGCCAAGGGTCCCTAGATGCAATCCCAAAACCACTGAATTAAAAACTTCCAAATACCACAAAACAAAATAACTTACAAAATGTTACTGATTCCACATTAAGCTTATTTGAAATTTTTCATTTATCTTTTTCAAGGCACATAAAAAATTGATACTGTATTATTTTAAATAAACCAGCTCAAAAGGAATGACCAATGTGCTAAAACCCTTGAAATATGGCCCAGGGATAAGAAAAATATTCTGACAAAAAAAAAAATACCATCGATGATGCAGTAGAGCTGGGATATATACTCGAATGGGATGGGACTGAAACTTTAGATGTCTCATCCCGACCAGTCATTAATATATTTTCATCAAAGGCAGCTTCTGTAGACTCAATCACTGTCTAGAAAACAGCACTGATAACAGCATCTTGGACACTTGAATCCCATTTGCAGGTACAAAAATGTCACAGTTAGATGATCAGATGCAGAAACAAAATATCATTAACTGACAAAGAACATTTGATGCACCTAACTGGATATTAGGTGGCTACCCTATCTCCTTAGGATTTTTAAAAATTTTCTCTGCCAATTGATTAAAAACAAAACAGGGAATGAAAATTAAGCCAAACCTCTTGTAAAAGAGGAAAGCCACAACAAATTTAAAAATTACATCAATAGTTTTTGGTTGTTACACATATGATGTCTGACATATGATGTTACATATGAAATGTTGTATTCTTTCTTCATTTACTATGTATTCACACATTCAATATGGAAAGCATTTCTTCTGATCTGTTATTTTTTTCCATTTTGGAGATGTAATCTTTAAAATATCAGAAAGACTCATGTTTGCTTAGTTTATATATTTAGTTATATATTATCATTTGGTAAATATCCTGTCTTTTAAATATGGAACAGGTCCCTTTCTTTATGTATTCTTTAAGGTCCTAGTTTGTTTCAAATAATTTCCTGAATATGACATTTTAAAGCTTACATATTTTTAGATTGACTTCTATGTAAATATCTCTTTCAAAATGCCTTAGCAAGTATTAATTGATGTCCATTTTGCTATAAATCCACTTTAGTTTCTATATAGATTTCATTGCAATTCATTTTCTTTAAAATTATGTGAAAATTATGAAAGTTAAGTGTACAACATTATTCTTTAAATCCTAAAGTTTTTGTTTATTTCATTATATTTTTGAGGCGGAGTTTCGGCTCTTCCTACCCAGGCTGGGTGCAATGGCACAATCTCGGCTCACTGTAACCTCCGCCTCCTGGGTTCAAGTGATTCTCCTGCCTCAGCCTCCTGAGTGGCTGGGATTACAGGCATGCGCCACCATGCCCAGCTAATTTTGTATTTTTAATAGAGCGGAGTTTCTCCATGTTAGTCCGGCTGGTCTCGGGCATGCTCGACTTGGGTGATCCGCCTGCTCGGCCTCCCAAAGTGCTGGGATTCCAGGCGTGGTGCCACACACCCAGCCTGAAGTTTTTATTTTTATGGACTTAAAATGATTATTGCCCTGCAGATGCCCAATTGGGAGCCACGATGGTAAATAATGTGTATTTTAAAATCTTTTTAAAAATTAAATTTTTGAATATTTTAAATGTTATAATAAATTACATTGATGTGCTCTCTTTCTTCTATGTATCAGCTTTACAATATTTATTTTGGTAATATACTAAGTATGAGTTTTGCCACTTCATTTTTAAAAGCAAACAATTTTAAACCAAATAATAAAAACTAACTTTACAGTAAGTTTGGCTGTTAACAATAATACTTTTTTTTTCTGAAAAGTCCATTATCTCATTTAACACATATAGACACACAAACCAGATAACACACACACATATTCACAAATAAATTTAAACTTTCTGTACCTGTCTATGTTCTTCTGGCAATAAACAAAATATCCTAAAGGCTTACTAGTGTGTTTAAAATTTTAGGATTAGTTAACATCTAATAAAAAAAGATCCCTGGATATTAAACACTGAAAACCTGCATGGCCTATATCATACTATTTGATGGTTATTATACTTGGTTAGACTTAAGCACTTTGATTAACTGTAGAGTTTGATAAACTGCTGTAAGTCCATATGTTATGTAGTTTAGAGTATTCCATGTTCTATATATCCCAATTTTTATATTAACTTAATTGTTTGAATCGGTGTCAGATAAACCCTGAAGACATCTGAAAATAATTTTCTAAGAAAGTTCTGAATCCATTTGAATCCAGCCAAAGTAAATAACTTAAATATAAATTATTTAAACACTGTGATATGGGGCCAGGTACAGTGGCTCACACCTGTAATCCCAGCGCACAGGAGACTGAGTCGGGCAGATCGTGAGGTCAAGGAGATCAAGGAGATCATCCTGGCCAACATGGTGAAACCCCATTTCTACTAAAAATACAAAAATTAGCTGGGCACGGTGGTGCACACCTGTAGTCCCAGCTACTTGGGAGGCAAGGAAAGTCTCTCTCTTGGAACCTGGGAGGCGGGGAGGTTGCAGGTGTGTGAACCTGGATGTTGCTGCAGTGATCAACTCACAGTAGAATATAAGAAAAAAAAAACAGGAAAAAAGGATGTTTTGTTTTGAGAACAGCATGCATTTATTATGTGACTTCTATATTACTTTTGCCAAATAACATAAGTTATTTGACTTATAACATACATTAAGTATATGCATAATAGTCATGCTGTTTTCGCTATCCAGACTACATCGATAAACGACAGTGCTATCGAATTTTTCTTCTCTTTTTTTTTTGGGGAGATGGAATCTTGCTCTGCCTCCCAGGCATAGTGCAGTGGCGAGATCTCAGCTCACTGAAATCACTGCTTCCCGGGTTCACACCATTCTCCTGCCTCAGCCTCCCAAGTAGCTGGGACTACAGGTGCCCGCCACCCGTCCAGCTAGGTTTTTGTATTTTTAGTAGAGACGGGGGTTTGCACTATGTTAGCCAGGATGGTCTCTCAATCCTGACCTCGCCCAGATCAAAAGCGTCTCTCTGCCTCCCAAAGTGCTGGGAGAGTAAACAAACCACACGATGCCCGACCACTATTAACTAAAACAAAAGTTCACATATACCTATATAAAATTTGCATATCTATATTCTATGTAGGAAAAGGAAAAACACTAGTAAACCAATGCAGAACAACCAAAGTATCCACGAGAACTAAGTATGAAGTTGAATTAGAATTGCTCAAACACATCTCAAAAATACAGTTTACCCAAACATTGGTTTTTGGTTTGGATAAACGACGGGGTGATCAGAACCACATGGCAGTTTGCTGTTGCTTTCTTGTTGGTGGCAGAGTGCAGAAAGCACTTGGAAGGTGTGGATGGTAGTGGGGAAAGTGAACCACCTGTTTAGTCTCATGAAATGCTAGCAATGCTTGCATGTGCTTTAATTATAGTAGATCATGCCATAATGGTTCAAATTCTTCCTGGCCACAACTTGATTCTATCTCTCTTGTCATTTGGCAGCATTTGCCTTTAGCAGCTAGAATTGTAGTGGTACTTTGAAATAATTTCCCCTCTCTCTTCCACAATAGGAACAGAAATTTGGGGCCACTAGACTGCGATCCTTTAAGAGCACACATTATACCCTCTTTTGCAACCCCACTCCACCTCAGGGTAATGAGGCATATGTTGATTGTATATGATTGGATGAATGAAATGACCTTTAAAAAAATAAATCATTGGTTAAAATGCCCGTATGTTAAATACAAGTTCCATTATTATTTTAAATAAACTTCCTGTTTCAATATTAAAACATGTAGGAAATTAATATATAAATCAATCCATCTCTCACCCAGTCTCATAACTTTTTATTTTTTTGTAAGATTGCCTACATAAAATTACACATGCTGGCTGTAAACTGTTCAAAGTGCTTGAATAAATGAAATTTAAAAGAGAATTTCTATTATTCGATATAAATAAAGTACACACTAGAAGTACTTTACTTACCTATCTTTCGGCAATAATTTTCTGTGAAACAAAGGCCTTTAGACAAAAGCCTTCATTTTAAAATATATATCTCCAAATGGGTATCTCCTTACCATTGCTATAAATTCACTATAAATTTTCATTCATTTAAGTTTTGGAAATTTTTTTTAAATTAATGGTGGCATGGACACATGGCAGGAACACACCACACTGGGGCCTGTTGATGATGATGATAGAAGGGTTGAGGGGGAGGAGGAGGGAGAGCATCAGGAAGAGTAATTTGGGATGCTGGAGGAGGAGGAGGGCTTATCTTGGGTGATGGGATAATTTGTAACTTGACCATGGCACGTTTACCTGTCTAACCTGCACATCTGCACATGTATTCCTGAAATTAAAATTTACACAGAAATAATCAGTGGTGGCAAGTGGATGGCCATTTGCAGGTTCAATCATACTCATTTACAATTAAACAGATCAGCCGATCAAATATTAACACAGCCTGTGCATCAATGGCCTTCTTGATGCACTGGCCATAGAGAGATGTTTAGAACAATGAATCAATATCTTAATATCTTGGAAAGAAAAGTAAAAGATCATCACTGACGCTGTGTCTGGAAGAATTCTATTTGTTAACCTCTGAGGCATCACTGTAATCATTTAAAAATATAAGCCAAATATCAAGTTAAAAAAATAAAAGATTAAAATATTTCCTGAAAACACTGAAATAGCTGTACAAAAACAACTTCCTAATTTTCCATACAAATAAATAAATCAGTTAAAGTTAATGGATACTGGCACAACATGTCTCAAACCTTACCTAACTGACAATAATTGCTACGTACATTACAGTCTATTATTCCGTGCCAAGGATGATTTAATTTTAAATAAAAGCTCCTCAAATCAGCCACAGGCTACAAGCAGATGTTCCTTTACTTCCACAAGGGAGACATTTCTGGAACTCCTGCCACCGTGTAATTATCAAAGAATTTGGGTTCATTGTGGGTGATATCTCGAATTTTGATGACGAAGAAACAGAGCTCGGGCTCACGGGGTTTGTTGGTGAGCCTGTCCAGAGCTTGGGCTCAGGACGTGTAGTAGGCCTGCTCTCACGATCCGTGATCTCTTGGTGGCATGAATATCCCCAGTGTTCTCATCAATAATGAAAATGGAACTTGCCTTAGCCTGACAAGATGTATTTGATGGAACCATCTCCTTTATCAACATCAGAGTGAAGCTGGTGAAAAATTCATGTGAGATGAGATTAACTTACAAGAGTCAGCGATGCGGAGATATGTAAAAACAATTCTTGCTTATGTCAGGTAGGGTACACAGAAATTTTATTCTTGGAAAGGTAGCTGACGCTTATTGTGTGCAGTGGAAGAGCTATGAGAATGTGTCAGCTTAACTTGTACTTGCAGACAATTTCATGTCTTCCTGTAAACAGTCACATTTCAAAGGTATTTTATATCGATTTAAAGTTGGGAACTGATTGTGAATATTACTTACGCCATTTGATCTGTCCTTGCCAGTTTTAGCCATCTTCGTTTGAACAGAGCAGGCATTCAGTAAACACGTATAATTGGTTGATTTGATCTACTCCAAGCAAAGAAACTTTCTATAGGACATTGTAAATCTAGTTCCAACATACCGGCTGTACGCTTAGAAACCCCCACCATATTATTTAGGGTGCCCTTCTCTCTCCCTCCTTCACATATCCCTGTCCCCACTCACACTCTTGCTGTGATTAACGAGGAGTGTGCTGGATGTCAGTCTCTAAATCTGTCTCCAAATCCTGTTCTGTATTTTACAAGAGTGGAGCTGAAAAATGGCAGCGCTCTCAAGTAGAATTTTAAATCATACACGCATGGGACTTCAGCTAAACCCTTTCTTGAAATACCAAGAACTGCATTCGACTTGCATGATTAAGCACAGCATCAGCAGCACATGATCCCTCCCGATTTGCGTTTCACATATGGAGCTGTCCCTGCTGTATGTCAGAACATTATGCTGAACAGAGGAACCTCAGGAAACCCAGGCGTAATTACACATTTTTTCCTGAACTTCATAACCTGAGAAACCGCGCTACTCAATCGGTCATTTCAACAATCTTTCACCCCCTATAACTGCCATCATTCTGGGCTTTGGTTAATATGAATGTAAAACCCAATTTACCAAATAATAAAGCTTTTAAGCTGCCCTTCAGAACTACGTTTGCATTTTTAAAAGACAAGGTGCTAAGAGACATAAAATATGAAAAAAAAAAAAAAAAACTGAGGAAAGTATGGACACAGTACATTTTCATCCTTCCTGAGTAGCTGTTGAGGACATAGCTTTTTGTACCTTGAATTTCTGTAAATGATTGTTTTACTGCACTGTAACAGCTGTGCTTATCCTCTGCTTCCAAGTACTTGAATACCTGATTTATCTTTTGGTTGCAATGGGACTACATAATACAAAAGTAAATTTCACAGCACCAGTTATAATTTAATTTTTTTCAGTGTGAATTATCTAGTGGATCCTAAGCCACACGTTTACACACAGATGGAGATGCAGAGGAAGAAGGTGTGTTTCTTCAACTTCAATGTAGAATTATTTAACTTTCTTAAGTCATTTTTAGGGTTATGACTATATATGTAACTCCTCTAATTTATAATACTAAGAATTGAAATATAAGAATTATTATAGTTTTAATTATTAAGAACTTCCTGAATGTCAGTCACTATGCTTAACATTCTTTTTTTGTAAAACAATACACTTTATTTTAGGTTGGGAGTACATGAAGGTTTGTTACATGGGTAAAACATTATTTGCATAGTAACTCATTCCAATATTCTCACATTTGCCCTTAATCCTACTAACAAATGAAACTAGGGGAAGAGAAGGCAAGAACGTTGTCTGAGTGGCCCAGCCAACTCTGGCAGACGCGGGATTATGAAGAAAATCGGCAGGCTGGTCTAAAGCCCACATCCCACTCCTATAATGAGATCAGCCTCCAGGATAGGAACTGTTGTGCTGTGTGCTGAGGTCCTTCAGAGTTGATGCAAAGGGGAGATGTATATGAGGAAAGAAGAATATGCAACCAACCCCACCTGATCACCCCAAATCTTCAGAAGCTCAGTGCTTCAGTGGACATCTGTACGTTTTATGACTTACCCACAGGGTCCCTTCTTGCCATTACATAACAATAAAACTCCTACCTCCAGTAGCACAGAGCAGCTTGACTCCCAAGACAAATGCAGATGATGGATGAAAACAAGTTGTTTTTAAAACAAGCTTCAGTCCTGGGCCGCTTAAATACTCAATGCTGCTCTCCTGAGGCTCCTCTCATCTGTGCTCCCCCAGGAGGCTGGTGTAGTGAACATCTCTACACGTTGCTGCTGACAGTGGCGTGCAATGTTAGAACATCCAGAAGACCACAAGAAATATCAATTATACATGAGTCATGTGTTTCAATCATAAGCCTTTTTACACTGAAATCACATGAACGATTTTCATTTACAGAACAAACCCTTATGATTCATTTACCTAATTCCTACCAGCTGATCACTGTTTTCGTGGCATGGCGCTACAATGTCCCTGTGGTATTCCAAGTATGAGAAACAAAACAAATTTATTTTCAAGAAAAATCACACAGTAAGACCTGACTGTAGACTTCAATATTGCCTGAGCTCTGACGCCTCATTTTATTAAATATTATGAAGTTGTCAGTTGTTCTCCATTACTGACAACATCAGAACTTAAAAGTTTCATACACATGGATTCTCCAATCATTCAACAATCAATTCTTCTCTCTTCTACTACCTACCCGTGCCCCACCCATGCCCCTACCTGACCCCACGCACACATCCTGTTATTTCTGGGAGCCCTAAACATACTACTATTCTTCCCATCGTGACCATTTTCTCCCAGCTGGTACCATCACTAGACACCCAACCACTACCCCAAGAAGGAATTCACAAGCGAGAAAGAAAAGGGTGGCGGGCCTATATTCAGTGTCTTGCAAAAGGTTACTGCTCCTACATATGCGTCACCCAAGCAGCAGATTAAAGGACCAACTTTGAATTGTTAAAATGGGTACATAATTATCTGAGGCATTCAGACATTTAATCTGAGACTTGTGCATTTTACTAATCCCTGTGATTGGGTGAAATCCACACTCTTAGTAAAAAGCTCCTCTCTTTGATGAAAAGGAGTAGCGGCGAAAGTGATGTTCTCAAGTGTAGAAGCCGATCACGTTCTTAGCAGTTGACAAGTGTGTGTGTCTAGTAGGCACGTGCACTCCACGGACACACACACACACACACACACACACGGACATACATGCATGGACATCTTTGAGGGCCTTGCTGCTTGAACAGAAAAATGTTACTCTCCGCTGTGAAAACCTTTGACCAAGAAAAAAACAAACTATGATCCTATAAAATGGTAAATAAGTACATAAAATATTAAGAAACAATGCTGCAACCAAAGACAAGTGTTTATTGTGCTCCTATTTGGGGGCAAGAACAGCGAATCACCTCAGTCTATTCTACTCACAAACTACCATGCAGTGATGAACCTGGATTAGCCTAAAACAATAAAAAAAAAATATTAATAAGCAGATAAATTTGCCTTTACTGCCTGGGTTCCTAAATCATTTTCAAAGTATTTGTTTTGACTTCAAAGTAACTATTTACAGATTTTCCAATGAGCACAAAAGTGAGAGGCATAGAACCTTAGTTGAGTCTGGCTCATGATAAGGCAAAAAGACAAGCTATGGCATATATATATATGTATGAGGGAGGAGAGTACGATTATGTACATCCTGTGTCATTATGTCAGCATTATGTATTATTCATATGTAAGAAATATCAGACTCTCATAAGCTACATAGACCATATGCGATACAATCCATTTACATGTACCCTAAAATATATCAAATGAATAATCCATTAATATATTTCCATCAGCCCCCTGCTTGATAGAGCACACCCCCCACCCATGAGTCTGTTGTATCTGAGCCCTTTTTCATTCATTTTGAACTATAATCCTCGTTCAGAATCATCAAACCTTTCACTTGGGCTGTTGGAAAACACCTCAATTATTTTTTAATTTAATAACTCTCACATTGTCTAGTATACAATCAGTTATTTCCTCTAACACATATATTAAATTCTATCACCCCCTCGTATCAAAATATGTTTCATCCACAGAGTATCTTTATTGATAAGTGCTGAAAGATAACACTGAGATATCATAATATATCATATTTGCACAACATAATGTGTGTCATGTATGTAGCTCTGAAGGACTTTCATAGTCACTGGATCAGCCCTGAGCATGTGGCCTGGGGAGCTTCCAGTGGTCCAGCCAAATTGTAACAATTATTCCAGGCCTCTACCATTGCTATATTTATGCTTATTTATTTAAGAACTGTAAAGTATTACATCTGTGCTATTTCAAAGTGTATGGAACATTTACTGGGCTGACTCTTGATCCTCCTTCTTTGGCCTTTTCGGCATGCCACCAAATATATTTGAATAATTACTTCCATGGTCTATGGATTTAACCAGGTGCCTGGGCATGAGTCCCAATCTGATTCCATTCTATCTCCCTGGCCTTGTTTTTCCACCACATCTCACAGTGTAGTCTATGGTCCAAGCGTGCTGGACTAGTTTTCACTGCCTGAGCATAGCAAGCATTTCCCATGCTTCCCAACACACCCACTGCAGACATCAATTCAGCTCGATGCAAGTTCCCTTTTCTGAAGTTTTTGTATATGTTTATTTCCCATAGTTCTTATTTCAATTTCTATGAGTAAATTCATTTAATTCTGTGCACATATGGAAAAATCTAGTTATTTTTACATTCAACTTTAATTTATAAACTCACTTAAGAACTAAGTTCTTTTTTATCACACTATGTTCTACATCCTTAATAAAGTCTGTTGTGGTATTAAATTTTGGTAAATTTACAATCCACTTTATAAAATAGCAGTATTTGTTTTATTTCAATTTCTGTCTATTTTTTAAGTTTTAATAGCTTTTTAAAGAAAAGAAAACAAAACAAAACAAAGTAAAAAAACATCCTGTAAGTATCTCTGGTTTGTTTATATCTCCCGCCAATCCTCTATGCTGTAATGAACCACTTAGATGGAGTTCAGATGCCTTGCTTTGTTGTAAGCGGTAACACTTGGTGTATGATTTTGTGCTTTCACACTTACATGTTTTTTACGTTCCCCAGGGAGACAGAGCC